AGAGAGACACGTAGCTCAATGGGCCAAAGTAGAGTCCAGAAATAAACCCACACTTATACGGTCAATGAATTGAAGACAGAGGAGCCAAGAATATATAATGGGGAGATAGTGTCTTCAATACATGGTGCTGGGAAAACTGCAAAATAATTGAAGTGGGCCCCATGCACCATACACAGAAATGAACCGAAAATGGATTGAAGACTTGAACCTAAGACCTGAGACCACAAAACTTTGAAGGAAACATGGGTGGTGAGCTCTATAAAAGAACTCATACAACCCAATAACAAAAAGCAACACAAAACCCCGCAGCTATCTGATTTAAAAATGGGCAGAGGCCCTGAACAGACATCTTTCCAGAGAGGACACGCAGATGGCCAGCAGGCACACGGAAGATGCTCACTGTCACGGATCATCCGGGGGTGGAAGAAACCGGTGAAGTGTTTTGTTTTTTGTTTAAATAACTTGAATAAGAAAAAAAAAAACGAGTTGCGCAGGAGACACGCAGAAGAGGATTAGCAGACGGATAGGCAGACATAAACGCAGACAAGCAGAGAGGTGCTGGTCCGGCCACCCGGGGCCCCGCTTCTCCGTCCCCAGAGCGAAGAAGTGCCCACGGCAGCCTCCCCTCCGAGCCGCGCTCCCCTGAGCCAGCGCCTCTTCTCCGTGGGATTGTGGTCAGAGCTTCCTACTCAAACAAAGCCCAGACTTCTCCAGCGTTCTGACCGTGCGTGTCTCTGTCTCCTGAAGTCCACCATGTGCCCAGATGCCTGTCACCGAGGTCCCTGGCCCTGGCCCGTGACACTTGCTCCCTCCTTCAGGCGACTGTCACCTGGCCCAGCAGTCAGGTCTCAGTGTCTGCCCCTTACCCACCTGTGAAAACACACACTGTCTCCCTCCCCAAACAGGCAGCAAGACCAGTGCACAGATGTGGTCTTTCCGGTGAAAATTGCCCTTTCGCTAGAATTTTCTCCGAGTACATTTTCAGCCCCGCACCGTGCTGACGGGTCCCTTGCACGGTCTCAGCCTCACAGCGTCCCAGGCGCGGGCACCGAGTCCTGCCTGGTCTTTCGTCTCTGCGTGAGCCCAGCACCCAGGGCTTCCGAGGCCCCCACGTGGGCGTGGGCTCCCGCTCCGCACCTGGCTCTGGTTTCTCTTTGCTGAGGAGTGACAGGACCCCCCCAGGCCTGATTTAAGGATCAGGCGTTCCCAGTTCCGACAGTTCTCAGTCTGGGCCGGCGGCTGGCACCTGCCGGGAAGAGCCCAGCCCCACGGGGCCGCCAGCCAGGCTCCAGGGACTCGCTGTGGCCGGGCTCCTTTCTGGGAGCACGCTGAGCGAGTTAGGGTTTCCATCTGCTACGAGACTGCAAGGGGCAGGGTCACCCTGATGTGGACTGTGGGGGACAAGATGAGACCCGGACCAAACAGCATGAGTCCGGGGTTCAGGACCAGGAGCTCCCAGGCAGGGCTCTGCGGGGTGGGGTCCTCGATCCAGGCAGGGACAGGACAGGCCCGGTTCTGGGTTCTCTGCCAAGTTCTGCTCACACTTCCGGGACCCGAGACCCCGAACCCAGGCCGTGGTCGAGCTGGACCGCAGGCTCCCCTGCTCTCGGGGCCTGTGCACACGCGTCTCGTTCCCCGTGGCGCAGGCGGCTGTGAAACGCGGCTCGGCTGGCGTGAGGCTGGGACTCTGAGGGTGGGGCAGGTGCGCGCTGCCGGCCCAGGCGAGGCGGCTGGTCCATCTGCTGCCTTTCGTGTCGCGTCTCCACTGAGGCCTCTTCTCAGATAAATGAAAATGTCCTGGAATTGTTCCTGGCCATGCTCTCTCCCCGGACTTGGGAAGCCATCTCAGCGCGTCTTTCACCCTCCACCCTCCACCCACAGCCGCCCCGAAGACCACTCAGACCCAGCGCAGCAGGAGAAAACAGTCGGCAGACGCCGGTCCCCTCTCGGACCCCTGGCGTCCGGGCGGCTCACTACTGGGGTCTTGTACTCAGCCATCGTTTGAGACCGGGATGCTGCCAAATGTAAGACCCCCCCAAAGTGATCTGCTCCATCCTCCGGCAATTGTGGGTGTTTGGGTGATGTGTGCGGCCTGTCTGCTCCTCCTCCAGGCACATCGCTCTAATCCCATCAGCAGTTCTCTGTGGTCGCGTCTGCCAGGACCCCCCTCTGCACAGGGTTGGGGTCTTGCCTTCCCTCTGGAGCTGGGGGCCTGGAGCTGCACCCGAACTCACAGCGAGGAGTCAGTGCCAAGGCCCCGGGCAGGGGAGCGGCACCTTCGGGATGCGTTCCAGCCACAGTCTGGGCCGGCCCATCGCGTGGCCACGTGGCGCCAGTGGCACGAGGTCACGCTGTGCTGCCCGTGGGTGACCCACCCGGCCTCCCACCTCTCCCTGGATCCGCCGCGCTGGCCCGTGTGGACAGTGTGGCCCCCGGGTCCCCGTCACCACGCGAGTTCCTCCCACCCAGCCTTTTCTGCATCACCTTCTCCGGCCAGGTCTGTGCTTGTGACGCTAACGGCTCCCATCGCCGAGGAGCTGCTGCTCTTGGGGGACGGACCTGCGGACAGCTGGCGGGCGTGGCGGGCAGACGGACGGGCGCCTGTCAGGGCAGAGGCAGCAGAGGCCTGAGCCTGGCTGCACCGCGACCTGTGCTGCTGAGGGGCCGGTGGACCCTGGGACAGTGCACGGTGGATCCCTCAGCCTGGTTGGCTCCAGCCGGTTCGTGGCGGGCACCCCCGCCGCCCAGTGCTGTGCAGCCCCTCACACCGTGGCCCCGGGGCGGGGATCCCGGGCACGGGTGGAAAACAGGCTTGAAGAGGGTGGACACCCAGCCCACGACGGTGCGAAGGGGGCACTTCCGGGAAAGGTCTGTTTTACGCAGACCGGCCGTGAACCCGCCCTGTGCTCAGAGCCTCCAGCCCGTGTTCAAGGACCCGCCGTGCCGGGTGCCGAGGCTGCTCCCAGGACAGTCACCCCCTAAAACACAGACTGCCCCTCTCGGGGGCCTGCGGCAGGGGGACGCCCACAGCCTGTGGGGATGGTCCCGGTCATCCCGCCCAACAGACACGCAGTCCTGGAACCGTCACGGCTCCAGAGCCCACACCTGAGGCTTCCGTCACTAATTTCCGGGATCTGCTGTGGAATGACTGGCAAACCCCGACTCTCAACACCCACGAACCAGTCGGAACGAGAACTAAAGACACCCCCAGTGTTTAAGCAGGTCCGGCGAGGTGACTGGGCCCCGACTTCCTCAGATGTGCAACGAGACGGTGGCTGCTCGGTTTGAATCTTTTTGTTAAGTTGGCCTCTGGCCACGTTGGAAACGGATCCGGACTTCAGAAGGGATGCGGCAGCTGCTCAGAGCACCAGCAGGCCCAGGGCTCGCGCCGACGGCGGCGGCCGAGGCAGACACGTCAGGGTGACGTGACGATCCCGGCGTCATCAGCGCCGCATGCGTGTGCCCAGGGGCCCGCACCCCGTGAGACAGAGCTTGGGGCTTTAGGCACCGGAGACCCCTCGAGTGTTTCCCTCCAGGACAAAGTATCTTCAGCTGGAACTGCGGTGAGCTGACACGTGACCAGCGTCTCCCCAGAGGGCGGGGCGGTCCGGCTCCCTCCCTCGGGCAGAGCAAACCTTTGCCTCTGCCCGGGACCTGCCCAACCAAGGGAGCCACAGCCGTGCCCAGAAAGGCCGTGTCTGCTCCCACGCAGAGTGTGCTTGGACGCACAAGGACGTACTGCGAGGATCCACTGAGGAGGCTCAGGGAGGGGCCTGGGCCTAGGCGCCCTCAGGAGCTGCCCCCGTGGTGTCCTGTTCCCAGGGGGCTGCTCCGTGCGCGGAGGGACTTCCACTACTGGACAAAGAGCGGGCAGGCGGCTGTGCTGAGAGCCGACTCTGCAGCGGCCCAGACGCAGGCCCGGCCACCGCAGCCTGACCCGGACCTGCTGCTCGCGCTGCAGGCACAGCTGTCCCGGGGCCTCCCCAGTCGTGTGCACACGTGTGTGTGCGTGTGTAGGAGGCAAGTGGACGGGAACAGCCGGGACACGCTTTGTAAGAACACAGGCAGGTGAAGGCCAGCGGGCAGCAGATGGCAGGAGGGACCGGATTCGGGGAGCCCTGGGACCTCTCTGGGGGGCGGGTCCCTCAGCTCAGACAAAGGCAGGTGGACGGGACTGTGCTGCCCGGAGCCCCGGACCAGGACGCAGCTGAGAGCAGGCCCTCCACCCCCGCCTGCCCCCACCCCCACACTTATTTGATGCTATGAAAAGAACAGAGGCTCTGAAGAGGCTATAAAGGGACCAGCCGAGCAGCAGCGCCAGCGCACGTCAGCACGCCGCTCACCTAGACTGCGCAGGTGGGGGCGGGTGCCCGGGCTGCTTCTGGGCCGAGAGCAAGGCGGCCATTAAATACCCATTAAAGATCAGCTTTCATGAACCTCCCCTGCCAGAGGCCCAGCGAAGAACAAAGCCCATCAGTTCCCAGGCCTGCGTTTCTCGGTCTGGGCTGCTGGGGTCCCCGAGCCGTCTGACAGCAGTCTGGGGGGGTCCACACGCTTCTGAGAACACCCAGTAACGGAGGGACCCACCGCCACAGGTGTGAGAACAAGCTCCCAGGCGGGGCGCGCACCCGGGGACCCCCCTTCCGTACGTGCTGCAGGCCGAGTCCTGCTCTATGAGCTCTGGGTGCCCCCGGGGAGGACAGGACAGGCCCACTCGCTGCTGCAATGCACGAGACAGGGAGCTTACAAAAAGGGTTTTTATTAAATGAAGGAAAGACCTGCTCGGGGGTCGGTATGAAATATACAAAACTTTACACCAGATCTCCGAGGGGCAGGCGCACACGGCCAGGCTGTGCCGGGACCGGGTTCTGGGCCGAGTCCAAGAACCCAGGTGTCACTCGGAAACGAGCCCGAGGGCCACGGGGGCCGTGGGCGCCCAGGCCTGCCCACACGTGAAGGCCGGCCTCTCAGAAACCCCGCACACCGGGCAGCCTCGGTGGAAAACCCAGGACGCCAGGTTCTCGCCGCGTCTCTGCGTCATGTCGGATCCCCGTCTTCACCCTGAATAAGATGCTGTGGAATCTAAGGAAAACCCTCCAAGCCCCTCCGCGTGGCAGGACCGAGCCGAGCCCCACAGATCTCCGGTGTGGCCCACGCTGCCCGTCACTGCTGTGGAACAAGCAGACTTCCCAGTACAACTTCTCAAAACACCATCTCTCCAAAGTGATGTTTCTGCATGTGGAGCTTCGCAGAATGTGCACGTGTTTCTGGACGGGGTGTCCTGGGGGAGCGATGTGTCCTCGCCTGGAGCCGTGAGGTCACATGAGGTCGAGCTCCGCCTCCAGCGCTGCCGCCATCTCGTCCGCCTCCGAGCTGCTCCCCTCCTCGTCCTCGCCGCTGGACCCCCTGCTGGACTCGCTGGCTGCGTCCTCGTCGCTCAGCCTCCTCTTGTGGCCCCTGGAAGAGAAGCGTCTGCCCTGAGAGGCTCCGCGCACCAGGGAGGCCCGACCAGGACCGCAGTGCGGCCCGTCCACTCCGCACGGCCAGGCCCTGCGCTCGAGGACGGGACAGGGCGGACCGCAGAGCCAAACAAGGCCGCATCCCTGCCACAGGAGGTCACGGGACCGTCATGACAGAGGAGCCGTTTCGGGTGGACACTGGACGCGCCCAACCCCAGAGAACCCCAAGGACAAGGACAGACAGCAGAGGACGCGCTGGCTCGAGAGGCGGGGGTGTGGCGGGCACGTCTGAGCAGACCCCACTCTCAGGACAGCACCGGCCTGGGCCCTATCCTGCCCGCCCAGGGCGCCTCCCCAGGGCCCCCCTCACCTGGGCCCCCGGGCCTCGGCTGCGCTCCTCTTGCTGGGTGACTTCGCCTGCAGCGAGAGCCCCCTGGGGGCTGCTGGGGCCTGGCGCTCCCCGGGCCGGGGGGCCGCCTCCCGCTCCGCCTCCTGCTCCTCCGGCTTCTTCCTCTCGCTGTCGCTGTCATCGCTGCCTTCCCCCAGGATGTCGTCCACCTGCCGGGCAGCAGTCGGTCCACGGTCCGCTCGCAGGACACGCGGGCCCCCCAGCATGCGCTCGACGCCCCTTCCCTGAGCCCCACTGCGTTCCGCACTCAGCTCGCTCGGACATGCCCAGGACGGGACGAGGCGCACGGGCCGCGCTGACCACCTGTCTGGTGGAGCCTGGGGTCACCTTGACCCTCGACTCTGTCAGGGACCCACGTCTACGCACTGACGAGCTTTATGGTGAACAATCAGGCGTCCAGACCGTGGAATCGGCGGCACCTGTGCCTGTTTTCCCCGCGACCCCAGGTCACCGTCCGTGGCCTGCCCAGTGAGGGTGGTGCGGACAGTCGCCGGACAGCAAGGCGGGCCCCCGAGCGGCACCAGCACCAGCACCGGCAGCGGGGAGAAGGGCCAGGACACAGGCCTCACGAGCCTCGCGCAGCTGGCTCACGGCTGCCGTCGCCCCGAAGGCTGGGTGGGGCTCAGCACAGAGCAGGCGAGGGCTCACCTCCCAGCTCGGCTCTGCTCTCAGTGCCGTTCACAGCACCCGGGAGTCACCGGGCTGATTCACTGCTGCACCTTAGGAAAGACCGTGAGCGTCCCCCAGTCCTTGAACCGGGAAGACGCGAGGTCAGGAGCAGACTCTGGCCAGTGCTCTGCTCCAGGGACGACTGGGACACGACCCTGGGCTCCCAAGCTGTGCCAAGTGACCACGGCGGCCCTGGTGACTATTTCTTTTGTTCTCTTTTTTTCAAATATTTTTAATTATTTTTTTAGCAAGAGGGAGGGAGAGGAAGAGAGGTAGAAACATCGATGAGAGAGAACATCAATTGGCCGCCTCCTGCACGCCCCACTGGGGATCAGGCCACAACCTGGGCACGTGCCCTGACCAGGAATCGAACTGGCGACTCTTGGTGCAGAGCCGACGCTCAGCCCGAGCCACACAGCCGGGCTGCTCCCTTTGCTCTGAGGGCCCAGGAACGTCTGTGAGACGTGGGAGCAGACACACCAAACAAAGCGCCCGAGATGGGCCAGGAAGCTAAACGAACCCCTGCGCAGAGAGCACCCAACAGAGCAGAGCAGCCGGGACCGGGGTCCGCCCAGCAGGCCGACCGCAGACGAGACAGCAGAGCCCGGGGCACAGACGTGCTCCTCAAGGCGGCTGCACAGCGGGGCTCCCCCAACCCCGCAGGCCCGACCCCACCCGTGCTGCTTGCTCGGGCTCCCCCGAGACGCTGGGCACTGGCCTTCCCAGACAGATGACGGTGCGTCTACCTTGATAAGCAAACCTATCAGAATAGTCTGTACATTTGCTTCAAAACACTCGCTGTCTTAGCTCTGCACCATGACTTTCCAAGAGAAAAGAAGGGATTGAAGGACCAGTCACTGTGAACCTGACCTGAGCACAGAGCAGCTCAGTCAGCACCAGAGCCCCCGCGCCCCTTGCCCCGCCTGCTGTTTGGAAGACGGGGTGTTGGCGCAGACAGACCAGACCACGGTGCCCGGTGACACCGCCCCTCGTCCTGCTCCACGCACCTCCCAGGGCCCCCTCGTACAGAACGGTCACTGTGCACTGTTCGAACACCAGGAATCTGTAGCGAACTATTTACAAATGTTTTAAAGATGCTAAAAGGCATTTTAAAATCTTAAAAAAATCTCGAATCAAGTATAAACACTGTTTTCCTGAATTAACCGCTCATCATCAACTGCTACGGAGACAGTCTCCACAACCCACTGAAATGCAGGATCACGGAGAGGCAACCAAGCGGGCCCCCGAGGTCGCCGCTGAGAAACAGAGAACACACGGGGACAGCAGGAGGCGGGGCCACCCGCACCCTCTGTCCAGCATCGTCCGTCTCAGGGCACCACACCTGCCCTCAGACCCGCCGTGCCCTGGTCCTAGCACTTTCCTGTCCCCACTGTTCCCGCTTCTGACAACCTGTGGAGAGGGACGTGGCAGAGAGTCACAGACTGGAAACCAGTTGAGACGAGGTGGAGAAGCCCTCAGCCCTGCTGACTGCGGGACACGGTGAGCGGGGCGGAGGGGGTGCGTGCACTGTCCCCGACTCTGGGATAGTGGTGAGCAGGATGGAGGGTACCCCGCTGTCAGCGCCGTGTGCCGGGGCTGCCAAAGGGGCAAACAGGCAAGTGAAGTAAATAAGAGCCTGACACTCTCCAACCCAAAGCCTCTCCCTGACTCAGCGCGTCAGGGGCCCGCGTGCTGTGCTGTCCAGTCTGCAACCGCTGCCCATGGCCGGGGAAAGAGAAAACCCTCCATCCAGAAAGGGGGACAGAGCCTGACAGAGCGCTGGCCATCCTGGGCACCCGCCACCCATGCAGGCGGGCGTCCTGCCCGCCCCCCCCCCCCCCCCCCCGTGTGCGGCTCGGCCACCGGCAGGCTCTCCCATCCTGAGCAGCACCTGGCTGTGGCCCTTTCACGTCTGCGTGAAGGCGGGGCCCTGACCTGTGTGTGGGTCAGAGCCAGAGGAAGAGACGCGGGCATCTGTTTCCACCATGGCCAGCAGCAGCCGCCAGGCGCGGGGGAAACACCAGCGAGGGCACCAGACGGCACCGGTGATGCGCTGCTCAGCACCAAGGGCACAGGCCCATGCCACCCTGGGTGGGGGGGGCCTCTCACCCCAACACCAGCCCCCCCCACAGCTGCCACCAGCCCGAGCAGATTCCTGGGTGTCCGGCCTCTGGGAAAGGACAGCTTCTCAGAGCCCACGAGGACGGAGGCCACAGAGATCGTGAGAAGAGCCACCCCTTGGGCGAAGGATCACAGACGCACCATGAACAATCCCAACCACAGACACAGCCGCAGCGAGGCTGAAGGGCGCGGCCTCCGCCTCCACCGGCCCGCAGCTGCGGGGAGACCCGCTCGTCTCCACGTCGTGAGGCAGCGGAAGACACGCCCCTCCCCTCAGAACACAGTGGCAGGTGGGAAGCAACCCTGCGAGGGCCCCGGTGCGCCGGCACCCCCAGCGCGGCTGTGCAGTGTGACGCGGTCGGCTGCACAGCCTCCGGTCCCCACGACCTCGAGAAGGCCAGGAGCCAACAGCCAGGGCAGAGGACGGGCTCTGTGCTCCCTGGGGGTCCAGATGTCTCCGGCCGCCAATCCTGCTCCCAAAGCCACGTCTAAAGAGTTACGGCCTTTACTTCTGTACGAAGGGCCAGGTCTCAGAGTGAGAGACATTTAACACTTTTATTTGATGCTGGAATTTCAGTCCCTCTGATATGAAACAGACGAGTCAGACTGTGGTCACTGCCTGATCGACCAGGCAGGGTCTGCGCAGGTCAGAGCGGGGAGGTCGCCGTGACGCCCGGGGAGGGCTGGGTGTCCAGGAGGGGAGCAGCGGAGCCCCAGGTGTCCTCCCCTCCCAGCCCCCCAGGTGGAAGGAAGGGGCACCCCAGGTCTGGGATCAGAGATGGACAAGTAATGTTGAGAAAATTCTTTTAGAAGAAACGTTTTAAAAAAACAAAAACAGTTCGTGTCCTGACTAAATGTTTCAGAGGCAGGTGAGGGAAACAGCCGGCTGAGGTTCTGGTAGGCTCTGCGCGGAGCAGACCGTCTAGTTTCCTGCTGTTGCTGAAAACACAGAGTCTGCTACCCCCTCTGCGCTGTCCCAGCCCAGGGAGACCAGTGCCGTGTGCACAGCGCGTCTGCCGGGCGGGGCCTGGGGGCACCAAGTGCTGCGCTCACCTGGGACACGTGTGGTCTCTACATGGGCCCTCACGTCAGCCCAAGAGCAGTGCCGCGCTGACAACCTCCACAGACCCCATGGCCGTGACCTCCCCAAGGGGCTGGCCCACGACAGGAAGTGAGGGGCATAAGGGCCAGGGGAGGACCTATGGCCACGTGGGACCACGGACAGGCTGACATGAGTGTTTCTGCGAGTTTTAAGGACAAACCAGAGACAGACTGTGTGACGGCACGGCTGTGTGGCAGCATCCCTGGCCCCCACCTGCTCAACGCCAGGAGCACCCCTTATCAATGACAACCCCAGATGCTGTCTGGTGCCCTGGGGGGGGGGGTAGGGCCCATCAGCAGGATCACAGGCCCAAGTGTGTGCTCGTGGCCAATGCTGTGACAGAGACACCCCTTGGCACTGTTGCCCACGTCCTCCCAAGAATCAAGGCTGGTCCCAGACCTCGGGCAGGACGCAGGGTCCCAGTGGGCGGGCTGAGGGCTCACCTCTTTGTCCATGCTCTCCAAGTCCTCCTTGCACAGGGTGTACAGCGGCATGGCCTCGGACATGCTGGGCTGTCGCTTCCTTCTCGAAGGCCCGGGCTGCTCCCCACCGGGGCGATCGGGCAGCTCCTCCCCAAGCATCTGCTGCTGGTGCGGTTGAACAGCTCTGCAAGGACAGTTCAGGTCCCGCGTGAGGAAGGCAGTGTGAGCTCCCTTTCCAGCACCGAGTCAGGTTCGGACTGGGGACAGGTGCACACGCGTGCACACACGCGTGCACACACACACGCACACACACAGCATTCTCACTGTGGCACACGCTGCCTTGCCCGCTCACTGGCTCGAGTCTGTGCCGGGCTCCTGCTATGGAGGCCGACACTGCTGGGCTTGACTCATGTTAGAACAAAGGGCAGACAGGAAGAGTGAAGAGGAAAATTCCTTAGAAAGCAGCAGGAAGTGCTATCTATCCTCAAAGGAAGGTCGCGCGAGCCAGAGTCCTTCTGTGAGAACAACCCGGACGGTGAAGCTGGGGAGCAGGGAGGGGCACCGAGTCTGTGCCCGACGCCGAGCTCAACCACTAGGTGCTGATGTGACAAACCCACCAGCAAAGATCGAGGCTCTGCCCCAGAGCCAGCCACGCTCGTGCCCGACGGCTGCACCCCGCCCCAGTGCTGCCCCCTCTGCACCCCGACCGGCACATCTCAGCACGTTACGGACACTCAGTTCTCAGGGCCTCCAGGGAGACGGGCTCCGGGCACAGAACAGGCCACGCTGCCCTTCCCGGGGCGAGGAGGGGCTCCCACTCCCACAGGAACCAGGTGGGCACCGGGCACGAGAACCAGCAGGAGCCAAGTGCTGGCGAGCGCCCGACGGGCACGGGGGATGCGCCTGGGGCCTGGCAGGCACGTGTGGACAGGCGCACGGACACACAGCTGCCCGGGCACAGTGTGAATCGGGTACACAGGGCAGGGCTCTAGGCTCCAACGAGCAGGCAACACCCCCTGTGCTGCTGAGACTGGGGGCCGACCTGCAGCGCAGGCCAGGTGCACAACAGCTCGGCCCCGTCCTGCACGTCCCCGGGCCCGGGTCCTGGGCCTTTCAGACTGGGTGCAGGACAGGAACCCCCCTCTTCTTACACAGACCGGCCCTTTGTCAACTCTGGAGGCAGAACGGTCACCCAGCTGCGCAGCACTGACCGCACCAGTGGGGAGACCAGCAGAGCGCAACCCACTCTGACAGACGCCCCAGGCCCCTCGGATGCCGTCGGCCAGACTGCAACATGCCGGTTCCAGTGCCAACCTCACGCTGACTGTGGTTTAACGAATTAGGCTGGTGGAAAGCACACTTCCGCGTTCAGAACAAAAGTTTCACCAGAAGTAAACTCATCAGGACAAATGGCAGCCAGGGCTCGTTCCCCTGCGGAACCACTGCTGCCGGCTCCCCGCATCACACAGGCAGAGGCCCCGCAGCTGCCCGCCTGCCCACGGGGTCCTGGGCCCCTCGCAGCGAGGCAGACTCGCCCGGAGACCACCGCACCTACGTCTAAACACCCCAAGGTTTGAGACACTGCTCAGTTCCTCACACCAGAGCCCTCGGTCCACCTGGCCGCCCTTCCGCAGCAGCACAGGGAGGGCAGGCCTGGCCCCGCACACGGCGCGGCCCGGGGCCAACACTGCGCCAAGAACCCTGTGCTCCTTGCGCCAGCTCAGCGCGGAGCCCTTCCCACCACCTGACTCCAGGTCACACGCGCAGGGGCCGCCCAGCAGGACCCGGACCAGGGTGCAGTGCAGGGTCTGGGCCCCGCCCACGACGGGCCTGCTTCACCCCAGCGCAGAGCGAGCTGAGACCCAGTGGTGCTTTCGGGTGGTCTGCACTGGGACTGGAGTCGCTGGACAGCGCACAGCTGACCCTCCGCAGCAGCAGACACCTGCTCCTCTTCCCAGCCGAGGCCGGGAGGCTGCAGACTCGGGGCGCAGGCACTGATCTGGTGTCCCACAGAGGGGACTCGAGTCACCCTGGGTTCTGGTATCTACAGGGTCCTGAACCAATTCCCCAGTGGATGCCTGGGGACAACGTAAGATTTTGGGGAGCAGCCTAAGTAATATGTGGGTTCTGACTGCACTTGGTTGGCATCCCCGACCCATGTTGTTCAAGGGTCAACGGTGTGAACACTGAACGGCTAAGTGCACACAGACGACAGGACAACTTCCTGAACAGCGAACGCTCTGGCATCACGGCCACGGCACCTCCCCTCAGACGCGGCTCCTCGTGGGCCCTTCCCCTCAGGCCCCGCAGCTCCGATATCTGCCAGGTGGGCTTCATCCCCACCTCACAGACCACCACCCCATGGTGCACAGGGTCCCCACTGGCACCACCACCCGGCTGCGCTCAGGGGCTCAGCCATTGGGCTCCGGCTGCCCATCACGACAGCGGCCAAATCCACACGGAGGTCACTCCTCCCCGTTCTTGTGAAAGTGCAGAGACATCAGGATGCATCAGGACTTCCTGGGGGCACGCAGCCCCCGACCTGGGGCTCCCCTGCCACTGGCTGCCTCTTGGGAAGCCTCTGGGGTGCAGCCCCTTCTCGCCCATCCGACGTGAGGCTCTGAGGTGGCCGCAGTGTCCCGTCCCAGGGCAAAGCAGAGCCAGGAACACAAAGCCACGGTGAAGCCAGCACACCAGGCGGGCTCCTCTCAATGGGGAACCTCAGAGGTGAGGATGGCCTCACCTCGAAGAAGGCTCAGCGATACCCCCCCGTGTGGCAGCAGAGACAGGGCCCGGCCCAGCCCCGGAAAGTCAGGCACCTCCGAGCCTGACAAGAAACCACCGCACTCTGAACCGCTGGGGGACAGAACCCAGAGCTGGAGACCAGACGCCACTTCCTGCGGGAGGGCCTGGCGGGACCTGTGCTGAGGCAGGAGCCTCCCGTCTGAATCCACGTCTTCCACGCACGAGGGTGAGTCCACCGTGGGCTTCAGCGGACCTTCCACCAGTTGCTCTGGCCACACGACGGCCACCCTGCGTGCTGAGGAAAGGGTGCACTTCACACACCTTCCCCCGACGGGGTCGGTCACCTTACAAGTTCTGCAGGGAGTGGAGCAGACAAAACCGCAGTGAGCAACGTTTCAAGGAAGGGCTCAGAGTGAACGCCACACGCCGTGAACTGTGAGCCGTGAACACTGACCACGGAGACAGACACCAGTACTCCACGTGCCCACCTCCTTCGTTTCAACGGCAGCACCGACGACAGAACGCTCTTCTAACAATGCGCGCTTCCCGGAAGGGACAAGGTGAACACTCACAAAATCCCAGCAAGGAAGAAGGGTGAGTCAAGGCTACAGAGGAGCCTGCTGACGTGAGGCCCCGGTGGGGGATCAGCCTGGCCCCATGACAGCTGCCACCGCCGCCCGCACCTGCTGGTGGGACCCCGAGTCCCAGCACCCTGGCCAACAACCGACACCGTGCATCCCGGGTGCGACCTTCTCCCGGGCACGGCTGTGCTGCGAGGCTGCAGGAGCGTGGGCAGCAAGAGTCAAAGGTGACTCCTTAAGTGGTGGAGTGAGCTAGTGATGATGCTTCTAGTTACAACCAGCCAACCAACCACCAAAAAGCCCAACGCAAACCGCTCACCCTAGGCTGCCTGCCTGCCCCACCTGGGCCCGCAGCAGGGCCAGTGGACACCTCACCTGGCCAGTGGGGTGACTCTGAGGCGTCCCTGTGGCCGGGACACAGGAACACACTGCCCATCTGGGCCACCCCAGCTCCCCAGCTTAGAGCAAGAGGCAGCTGCTCGGACCCAGCGCCCCCAGGAGAGGGGGACACAGTGCAGGGGCCACACGTCACTGGGGAACTTCACCTGCTCTCTGAAACACAGCCTGCAGACTCGTGTCATCTCAGAGGCTCTGTACGTAGTGGGTGTGGTCCTCAACCTCAGACTGGGAGGACCCAGGCAGTAAGAGGAAGTGCAGGGCACCCCCATGAGACTCGCTGCCCCTCAGGAAGCACTGGGGCTGGTCCACTCGGGTGTCTCTGCCCCATCCTGCCCCTGGGCTGAGTGGAAGTAGGCAGGTGGCCAGGGAGGCCGTGCTGCTGAGCTGAGGCCTAGCTGCCCTCCCCTCATGACAACTCTCCACCCTGTGACCAGGCCTGGAGAGCGTGGAGGCCAGGTCAGCGTGAGATGGCTCGAGGAGGTGCAGAGCCAGGGTGCGTGGCCCAGTGCACGTCGGCTGACAGGTGGACCAAGGGTTTGTCTGGGACTTGGCACAGGACAGAGACGCTGAGGCCGATGTGGAGGGCAGGTGCTGCCACGCCGGCCGGCGGAACCCTCAGCCAGGCAGCCAAGTCCCACTCAGAGCTGACACAGCCCAGCCCATGCCAGCCCCCAGCCCACCCGAGGGAGCCGGCCGGCAGCTTGCTCCGTGGCGCCGGGAGACATACCTGAAGGAGGAGCGCTCGGTGTGGACCTGCAGGGAGCCCGGGGGCCCGGGGCCGGCAGCGCCCTTCCGGATGAGCTTGCCGGTGCTGGCATCGTAGATCCGGACATCAGGGCCGGGCTGGGCCTTGGGGTGTACGGGTGTCGGATGGAACAAGGTAGCTGGAAGCGCACCCTGCCTGTCGGGGAACGCTGCGGGGCCGTCCTCCCTGCGGGGAAAACAGGCTGTGAGGAGGTGCTGGGACTGACGGGGGGATGGGGACACCCCTCAAGGCCCAAGAACTGAGGTCAGCATCTGACGCCCAGAGCCTGTGCAGGCGGAGACGGACATGACTCTTCTTAGATCGCCGGGCACAGCTCTGGGCCGTCTGCCCTCAGACTCTGGGCAGAAGGTGCGCCCGCCGGACCTCAGCCCAGAGAACACATTTGCTGTTTCCCTCACGTCGGTCCCAGGACTTCCCCCTAAATACATCCTTCAACCTCTAAAGAACAGGAAGCGTTTGTCAAGTCTTTCTGAGAACATGAACAAGACAAGCAGACGCTCTCCTGGATCCCTCACCACGGCCTGGCCCCTCCCACACTGGACTCCGCAGCAGCTGCGCGACTCATGCCCGTCCCGTCCCAGGGAAGGCACACGGCACCCCAGGCCCACCGCTGACAGCCGTCCCGTCCCAGGGAAGGCACACGGCACCCCAGGCCCACCGCTGACAGCCGTCCCGTCCCAGGAAACACCTGCTCCTTCCCTGGGCGTAACGCTCACCAGTCCCAGGCTGCCTGGCACGGCACAGCCTGGAGCAGTGGTGGGGCAGCCTGGGCATGTGGGGGGGTGCTCTGAGGAACCCTCGGACAGCACATCGAGATGCCGTGTGGGCCAGGGGTGGGCTCTTCCGGAGGTGACGGGCCGACCGGGGCAGCTTACCTCTGCGCTTTGCCGTAGTCCTCGCTCAGCGGGAAGAGCTGCTCCTCCACCCTGTCCCACCGCTCCAGGCAGCTCCACAGCCAGTCGGGGTTCACCACGTGCAGCCCTCCGCACGCCTGGGCCTGCCGGACCTTCTCTGTGCCTGCAACGAGGGGAGCAAGGCCTGCTGTCCAGGGGCCCAGCACGGAGCAGGGCCCTCGCCAGGACACGCCCACCTGCTGCAGAGGCCGATGGGCAGACCCAGAAAGTCCAGTTAGGGCTTCACCACTGTGTCACTACCAGGAAGACACTTCTGAAAGTCCCAGAGACGGGGCTGGTTACGGAAAGCAACCATAGGGGCCACAGACGCCATCCGCCTCGGGAGCCCCGCGGTGCCCCTGCCCCACCCCAGGGGAGGCCCCAGGGAGGCCACGTACCTGCCTTCGCGGCAATCAGGTGGGTGGCCCGGTCAGGGGCGTCGGGGTCTAACACCAGCTGGGTGAGGATCTTGGCTCCGAGGGCTGTGGCGTGGTAATGCTCCCGGGTCTTTTCCACCGGAAAATTGGTGGGGTACAGCCCACTGAATATTATGGCCACGTCTGCCAGCACTCGGCTCTTGAGCTCAGGAACGATCTTCCGTATGTCAGGGGCCTCCTGGGTCTCCCCGCGGAGGTAGCGGTCGTACCTGGCGTAGTAGTCGGAGTGCACACGGGCGAGGATCTCCTCCAGGTGCACCAGGTGGTCGTCACTGTCATCATCCTCCTCCTCAGCCTCCTCCTCCTCCACGCTCTGGTCCAGGGACTCGCCCACCGTGATGCCCGACTGCTCGCTGTTCTGGGACTCCGTCTCCGCCTCCTTCTTGTCGGCAGAACCGCCCGCCAGCCCACAGAGGCTGTCTCGCTCGCCCTCCTCCTGCAGGTCTGATTGGACGCCAGGCACGGGCTCCGCGCAGTGATTCGTCCCTGCGGACTTCTCCCCTCCTGGGCCAGGGGGCCCGCCCTGTGGCAGGCCTCTCCCAGGGTCCCGAGCAGCCTTAGACTTTCTCTGGCCCCTCTTCTCCCCGCTCTCTCCACCAGAGCTGGAGGAGGACCGACCCTCCGACTCACTGCTGCTCTCGCTGTCACTGGACAAGTCAAAGTCCAGGTCGCTGCCTGACGCACCCTGAGGCGGCCGCTGTTCTGCCGAGGTCTGACCCTGCTGCTGAGCACACGCTGGGGGATCTCTCCCATCCGCCGGGGGCGCACGGGCGGCAGGCAGGGCCCAGTCCCCGTTCAGCTCCCTCGCGGGCTTCCCAAGGCCGTTACTCTGCTCGACCCCAGGAACCGGCCTTCCCTCCTCGGGGTCCTTGACGGACAAAGCGTGATCTGCGATGTCAGCACCTTTGGGAGGATGATTCACTGTGCATGCACAGGAAGGAGAGGTTAACATGGTTTCCAAGAAGCGGGGGACACAGGACGCACCCGCCACACGGCCCCAGACAGACATCGAGCCGCCTCTGCAGGGGTGCCCCGGTCCCACCTTCTCCCGGCCCAGACCTCTAGGTCCTAGTCTAGTGGCTGCAGTTAACTGGACACCTCACACATTTCACTTAATCCTACTCAGTCAGGAAAATGTCCAGATCAGTACTATTGAAAACCCCACTGACACCAAGCCTCACACGTTTAGCGTAACAAACCCAAGAGCCTCTGTGACACTGAAATAGCAGCGGCAGCAGAGTGAGCCTTGGATCTGGAGGCGTCACAGACGGGAGAGGCAGGAGACAGCGAGGTGGACACTGGGAGGACCCGAAGGACGCTGCCCACCTTTCTTCCTCGCCAGAGACTCCCGGGACCCAGGGGGAGCATTGATGTCCCCTGTGCCCTGGAAGTAGACGTATTTCTTTACGGTGATCAGATTGGGGGCGAACTTCCAGACATCTTCTCGGTCGTCAATAATGCAGACCATTGAGTCTCCACAAGGAAAGAGATTTCTGGAAGTAAAAACGTAGCAGAACTAGTAGCACATTTTACAAAGAATCACCACCTACCAGACTAACGTGAAACAGGTGCGAACTACATGGAAGGCTTTTGTGTAGCTCACATTTAAACTGTTTCCAGAGAAAGTAACACTAAGATAGGTTCAGTTTTCTCCACTGTCTCTGCTGCTTCTCAAAGCAGGGCCAGCGCCCTCCACGGACCAGAGAGCAAAGGGAATGCTCCCGGACCAGCGTGAATCAGCGCCACGTCCTCGGACAAGTCCATATATAGACACAGGCCACCCGCCTCGGGCCAGTCTGCTCACACCTGCTCCCGCACACGAGGGTTTCAGAGAGAGGGGTGGGCAGGCCTTGCTCGACCTCAGCTGTTCAATATAAACAAGCATTCCCTGCAGTTCCCAAAAAGTGACTTGTATTCCCTAAAGCTACTATTACGTAGGGGTGAACAGAAACGTTAACAAGGGCCCAAAGGCCCCCCGGGTGCAGGCATGCTCTGTTCCCTCCAACGGTCTGGTTAGACTCCCCTCTGCCCCGCCTGAGATGCAGGGCTGCTCCTGCCGTTACAATCTAAACGACTGCTTCCCCCCGTCCGCTAGGATCAGACACAAGCCCAGCAGAGATCCTGCCTCTGTTCAAGTTCTCTAGCTGCCAATGATACAGACTATACCTCCCAGAAAAAAAGTCTACGTGTCCAAAACCAGTGTTATTTTCTGAGTCTGTTTTAGAGAAGCAAGATGTCAAGGTAGCTGAACTATCTTGGACCTCGGTGGCTGCTGCCTTCGGCACGTTGATTCCAGATGGGGACGGCCTGTGTCCCCTGGGGAGCAGGACGGGGTGGCTGCCCCTGAGGCAGACATGCGCTCACCTCCTCAGTCCTCACCCATCTGCTCACGCTGAGCTGAGCAAACACGAGGTCTCTTTCCCAAACCAGTACTTTCAGGATTTCTCCTTGGTACACGCTGACCTGGGCAGGTCTCTGTCGTGGGGACACCCCACATCTGAGCACAAAACGTTAGACGAGGGCGGCTGACACCAACCAAGAGGCCACTGAAGCTACAGCCGTTACCAGCTCCTGCCCAGTCTCGTTCGGAGGCAGCACCCCGAGAACAAGCTCTGCCTGACCCGGCAGAGATGGGGAAACTGCCCGGACAAAGACGACGCCCCTGAGGACACAAGAGCCCGTGGTTGGGGGACGACGCTGTCGCAGAGGCAGGAGGGCAGGACAGGAAGGGTGTGTGGTGACGGGGGGGGGGGGGGGGGCAGCGAAGGGCAGATGGATAAGTGACCTGGGACCTCTAACACCCTTAGCTCCCGAGCAACATGGACCTGCAACGCCAATACCTTCTTTAAACTCATGACTCGGCGGACAGCCTGCCTTGCCCTCGGGGAAGCTCCGAATGCTTCCCACCCACACGTCACCTGCATTCCTGTGCCACCCCACCCTGCTCTCAGCACCCTCTCCCCCACACCCTGTCCTCCTAGGCTCCCACCACGGCCTGGACGTCATGGAGAGGCAGGAGGAAGGCATCTGGTCAGACGACAGCGGCAGAGACGAGAGAACAGACGGCCACTGCTCTGAGCTCCCAGCACCCTCATGGTGGGGACTGACCGTGAGCCGCATGATGGACGCCACCGGGACGTACCTCAGGTTCCCCGTTTTAGAAAATGGGTCAATGCACTCGTCCCTCGACAATATTCGGTGAGAAAAAAGCTTCTTCTCGGGGTCTAAAAAGCCTTTGGAAAGAAAACAGGACAGAGGTCAGGTGCGTCCAAGGCGCACGCAGGCTCCACCGCGCACGGCGGTCTGTCTCCTCAGGATCAGACGGTGTCACACGCTGGCATCAAACACTTTCCCTTCCCAGGTAAGAGGGTCACTGCTTACGGTCCCTCTTATTTAACGTGTGTGTGAGGGCACCGTTCACGAAACATTCACGGAATTTATAGGACCTGGATCTGCAGGAGCAGAGAACACAGGTGCACCCAGCTCAACGTCAGCCCCAGGAAGCTGAGCCACACCGACAGGTCCCGGACAGGGCTGGGCCTGGCTCTGCTGCTGGCCGGCTGCAGCCTGTCACTGGGACAGCAGAGGGCTGAACTGGACACCTCAGAGTTTAAACTCACCCTGACAACGCACCCCATGTTTTCTGAAGACCGTTTTAGATGGACCCGGCATCGCCACACAGCGTGGAAACCGTGTAGTCCCTGGACATGGGTCCCCGCCCACGGTGGCCACTGTCTGCAGACTGGCCTCCCAGCAAAGCCTGCCTACCCCTGACCCCCGCCCCAGAGCCTCTGAAATCACAGTGACACATGCGGGGGCACCCCCCCAAATGAACAAGCCGTCTGTGCACCTCAGAGCCCCCAGGCTGCCCACGTGCACCACCACGGGGGGCCTGCCACTCCCACAGGGTTACATTCTCTGGATCACCTCTCAGACACTTCGTTAGCAGAAGACACTTGTTCTTGTAGAAGAAACATATTGTTTTAACTATATAACAAATGTGTAAGTGCAATGTAAGCACTGAAGCTACTCAATAGTAAATCTAAAACTTATTAGAACTATTGGCGCCTCTGCAATAAAATAAGTGAGAAATCCTAACAAAATATTTTTATCCCGATTAAACTAAAAAACACATTCTGTGAAAACGGTGAATTTCAGAATTAAAAGCTGATAGAGGAGCTACAAACGACATCGCGGTTGAAAACTACAACCTGGTGTCAGAATGAACGCCTGGGCCTCCGGTTGTCATCTGTGAGCAAGGAAGGGGCCTGGACCGCCCGCCAGCTACGAAGGACTGCATGGCACAGACGCCGCGCCCCACCTGGCCTGGCACCTGCCCCCGCCCCACCTCTGAAGGCTCAGCGCTCTCAAAGCTCTGCCGCGAGGTCCTGTGAGCCCAGCTTCCTCCCCAGTCCTCTCCGAGGGAGGGCGAGGTGGGGCCTTGGCCCCGTCCTGGCCCACGCGGCTCAGTGGTCAGAGGATCAACGTGTCTCACAGACGTCCCCTGGGGAGGACACAGAAGAGAAGCAGGCGCCGGCGGGGCCCAGCAGAGCCGCTCGCTCACCTGCGATCGTGTGCGCGTACAGCCGGCTGCCGAAGGTGAAGACGTGCAGCTCGTACAGCCGGGCGACCTTCTCCAGGAAGTCCCTGCAGTGCGGGCGCAGCCGGGTGTGCAGCATGGGCTCGCCCCGGCCCAGCTGGAAGTGCAGGATGCCCTGCAAAGGGAGAGGCCGTCAGGAGGGCCCGCGGGCCGCGCTCCACTGCGGAGGGTCCAGGCGGCGCACGTGCTCTCCTCACACTGCGTGAGCTCGGCCCCTCTGCCACTGCCCACGGCAACACCCATGACAACCACGTAACCGCCTACGAAAGCACAGCGACCCCCTATGCTGACAGCCCAGGGCAATGGAGGTAGCCCCTGCTACAGGCACAGACGCCCCCAGACAAACACCCAGCGACCACGACAAACTGCAACCGAGGTACGTGCCCTCGGCCAGAATCAAACCCATGACTCTTTGGTCTGCAGGCTGATGCTCTAACCACTGAGCAAAACCAGCTGGGTCTTCTTCCTTTTTAAAAAAAGTTATTAAAATTTTTTGTTAGCCCTGGCCGGTTTGGCTCAGCGGTTGGAGCGTCCGCCTGCGGTACAGGGTCCCGCTAAGGGCATGTACCTCGGTTGCAGTTTGTCCCCGGCCCTGGTTGGTCGTGCGGGTAGCAGCCACTCGATGTGTCCCTTCACGTCCATGTTTCTCTCTCTCTCTCTCTCTCTCTCTCTCTCTCTCCCTCTCCCTCTCCCTCTCCCTCTCTCTCCCTCCTGCTCTATCTGAACAAAAAATGGAAAAATGTCCTCGGGTGAGGATAAAAAAAAATAACATAAAATAAAATAAAATTTTTTGTTAATCCTCACCTGAGGATATTTTCCCATTCATTTTTAGACAGAATAGAAGGGAGTAGGAGGGAGAGATACACACACACAGACATCGACATAAGAGAGACGCATTGATTGGTTGCCTTCAGCATAACCCGGCCAGGGGTCAAACCTGCGACCCAGGTACATGCCCTTGATGGGGAATCAAACCCGAGAACCTCTGGTCTGAGGGCCAGCGCTCTATCTACTGAGCAAGCCAGCCAGTGCTCACGGAATATTTTTAACTTATAAACAATCACAAAAGTTGAAACAGCATTCTAACCCACCGCAGATGGGTGAAATTAGTAACACCAACCTGCCTATACACAATTAACATGCAAACAAGCTCTGTCTCCTTAGGAAGTAAAGGCTGATCCTTCTACTCCCGTTTCTCATTAATTTCCTCAGTAAACAAGCTCTGAACAGCTGCGCAGGAGGGTAGACGGCCTCAGGCTCGGTTACCTTTCCCAGCCCTAAGCCAGCAAAGCCCTGTGATCAGGCCGCTGTCAGAAGTCAGGAGTGGAAATCCTATGAACAGCTTCCACCCACTCAACAGTTAAATGGCCCATGAACTGCAATAAACATTCTTCACACACAAGCTCAGATCTGAGAAGTTAACAATTAAAGACGTCTTTCTGGTCGCCAGCAGAGTCCCAGGCCAGCGGCAGCGTGAGTGGGCTGCGTGGGCACAGACCTGTCATCACTCTGTCTCCCAGCCCAGCAGAGGGGGGGCGTGGGCAGGGCGGGGCAGAGCGCAGCAGAGGGCTGGCCACACAGAAGCCAGGGCACCTTCGCCTTCCAGACCACGCCAGCGGAGAGCCGGCACGTCACAGCTAGTTCGAGCCGTCTCGTAAAGCCTGACTTCAAAGGCACAGTAAACCCGCGTGCCAGCCTGGCCCAGTCCCCATGAAGGACACCTTCCCGCGGCGCTGTCCTAATCAGTCCGGTGAGCTCTGTGGACACAAAGACCCGAGTGCGAGCAGAGGCCACAAAGACAGACGCTGAGGCCTCCGGAAGCAGCGGCAGCAGGAGCTGACACCGGCCTGGACAGCCACCTGCAGCTGGCAGAGCCTTCTGAGGGTCCAGAAATCCAGCTTCTCGGCTCCACACCGAGCACAAAGTTGAAGCAGCATTCCACCCTCAATGCCTTCTCTCTGTCCGTCCCTGGAGACTCGTGCAGGGTTCCGGCCAGCCCACTGCAGCCCAGGCCCACCTGCACTGCCCCCAGCACTGCTGACACTCCCGGAGGGCACACGAATCCGCTCACCTTCCCTAACATAGCCCCTCTGTCCAATGCACGGCGTGCCCGGGCCTTCCAGGTGTCTGCACCCTCAGCCCCTCACTAACGCTGGCACCCAGCGGGTTCTGTGACGAGGCCGAGTGTGCGCTACGGCGACCTGACAGGACCAGGCAGGTGACCTGCCCGTGGTGTGCACAGGCCCACGGAGGAGTTGCGGGAGCTGCCGCCCTCACCTTGGTCGACATCTGCGGGCACTGCTGCTCGGTGGTGTGGATCAGGGTCTGGTCCAAGTCCACCATGAGCACCAGCTTCCTGTTGCGATGCAGTCGGTGCTGGTCTTCCCTCCCCAGCTGCTCGGCTTGCTGATGTTGAAATGAGAAGGAAACAGGACAATGTGAATATCTGGATCCAAAACAAAATTTGGTTTTGTTAAGGAAAACAAAGGGACGCTGAGCGTGGTTGTGCTCACTGTCCTGAACTCCCACCAGCGGACCACTGCTGCTCAGACCACGCGGGCCGCAGGCGGCTCCCTGTGCTGCAGCCGCGTGTGAGCGCCACTGTGGGCACTCGGCCTCGAGCTCCTCCTCTGCCACTTCGCCCAGGCGTAACCTGCGCTGGGAACCTCCCTTCTGCCAAGGGCCACCTGGACACTCATATCATTCGCAGGCCACACCAAACCATCAGCTTAGAAATCAGCTTCTCTGTCTATCTGGCTAATCTGGTGAGTGTGTGATGTCAGCTGTATCGAGTTCTGGGGCCTCATAGAGCCATAGGCTGGATGGCCCGGTGTAAACCATGAAAAGGGAGATAAAAGAAAGTGTCAATCGGGTCATGTCCGGCTACTGCGGCTCAGTGGTTGAGTGTTGACCCTGCACCAAGAGGTCACTGGTTCGATTCCCAGACAGGGCACATGACCAGGTTGTGGGCCCGATCCCCAGTGGGGGGCGTGCAGGAGGCAGCCAGTCGATGTTCTCTCTCATTGATGTTTCTATCTCTCTCTCCTTCTCACTTTCTCTCTGTCTAAAATCAATAAAGAAAAAAGAAGAAGAGAGTGGTCATCCCTGTAGGAATTCACTGGGATGCTGTGGAGAAACCCAATGCAGGGAGTGCAGGACAGACAGGAAAGTGGGAGGCAGGCGGGGACATGGGGGCGGGGACACGAGCGAGGCAGCAGGGGAGTGGGATGCACCTCGGGCACCCGCTGCTCAGTGCTGGACCCCGCTTTGGGAAAGACCCAGGTGGGTCCCAGAGACGCACGGCGCAGATACTGCCCTCGCGGGCCAGTGGAGACACTGCTCCCGGAAGGGCCTGGTCTTCCCACGCTGGGCCGACGGAGGCACTGCCACGGGCCGTGACAGGCTTTGGGCCTGTGTGACCACCCTCCTCACAGCAGGACACTCAGTTACCAGCAAGCACCCAGCCCTCAAGAGGCAGCACAGAATTCCACTGTCTGATCCCGAAAGGACTCAGGCAACAGTGGCTGTGTGATGGCACGAACAATGGGGAACACTTTCTTCCCTTTTTATTCTCCAGCTCCCCAGTTTTGTCACACACACACGTATTTACATTTGTTTAAAGTTCAGTTATTCAGAAAAACCTAAGTTATGTACCTAATATCTTGTCTTTCTCACAAAAAAATAAAGCTGATACTACTCGAGCACGAACCCAGTAGAATCGTTAACAACGTGCCACCCACTCTCCAGTGCACAGGAGCAGCTCCGAGCCGGCTCCACAGCTGCGCTTACAAAGCCCTGACCGGCTGCCTGCGCTGCCCTGGCAACGCCCACGCACCCCATGGACCCGGACCGAGACAGCACAGGTGTCGAGGACTCTGGGAACACACGAAGGACAGATGTGGTGAGCCCCAGCTCCCATTCTACGCAGGCCCTGGGCGTGGCACATGCAGGTCCCCAGGAGCTCAGCAGCCTCTTCCCGGCCCCTGTGCCCATGTCTGCTCTGCCGGGACCTCTGATGCCCTCACCCCACAGCTCGCCTCCTGCTCGGCCACCTGTCCTGGGGCGGCTGCTCTCGGACTTCAGCCCCGGCACGCAGCCTCCCCAACCAGACCGCTGCTCAGAGCGTGCGCACCAGCCCCGTGCTCACCTGTCCACTCCCCCCCGCCAGGACCAGGATCTGGGGTCCAGAGCCACAGCCCTGGAACAAGCAGCCAGCCGCCTCCCAGGCAGAGTCACTTGGGAGAGACAAACGCAGCTACCACCAGCTTCGTCTTCCAGCGGTCACTCCAGAGACAGCGTGACAGCAGCCCTGCAGCCCTCCAGCCCTCTGCCCGCCCGGGGTCTGGGCAGCACTCACCTCCGAGCTCACCATCAGCTCCGGGACGCTGTGCACCATGGACACGGTGGCGGTGGACAGAGGCACCTGCTGCCCCCCGTTCTGGCTCTGCAGCCTGCGGAGGGGAGAAGGCTGTGAGGTGACCGCCTCTGGCCGTGACCAGCAGGGCAAGCACGTCTGCTGCCACTGTGGTCAACGTGCTGTGGGCAACTGCCGGACACCCTCCCCTCGAACACGGGGCACTGGCCAGCAGGCCCAGACGCTCACAGCCTGGACACACTGAGGCCACGTGCCAGGCCCTCACACACAGTGGGGCGAGCGCTGGCCCGGGCTCGAGGTGGGGTCCTTGGTGCTGGGAGCGCACGGCGCCTCAGGATGGCGCTCCAGCAGCAGGAGGGAGGTGCGGTCTGCTCGGCTGGGGTCAGAAACGCTTCTCAACCCACCAGTGCTCCCCGCCCACAGCCGGTGACCAGGAGCATTGACCCTCGTCCGGTCGGGTTCCCAGCGCCAGTGCCTCACCCTTCACCTCGCACCCAGGGTGCCCAGCACGAGAGGCCAGCGTCCGGCCGGGCGGTACTCACTGGGTCAGGTCCTGGCCGCACTCGGCGCACAAGCCTTTCATGACGACTGGGTGGCTGCATCCTTCCACTCGGACCAGAACCGCTCTGGACATGGCAGAGAGCAGAATTAGAAGGGGCAGGGGGCTCCGGCTCTCAGCACCTCCACAGAGCGCCCAGTGGGCGGAAACCAGGTCACCGCCCCCCGGGCCCGCTCCTGCGTGCAAGGGAGGAAGAGCCGTTTCCTCAGAAGCCACAGGTCAGGTGCAGGGACTGAGCATGTCCTGTCGGAGGGGAGACGTGGGCAACACGAAAACCACCTCAGATGAACCTTACAGTCCTGATAAAGGATTTACAAAACCTAAAATCTCGTCACTCCAAGGAACAGCAGCAACAAGCAACGAACGAGGCCTTGTCCACAGCCCAGTGTGGAGAAGCTGCAAAGCATCTGCATTTCTTCTTTTTTAAATCCTCACACGAGGATATTTCCCATTTATTTTCAGGCAGAGTGGGAGGGAGAGGGAGAAACATCGATGTCAGAGAGATACATCAATTGGTCGCCTCCTGTACAATCTCGACCGGGACTGGGACCGAACCAAAACCAAGGTACATGCCCATGACAGGAATCGAACCCGAGACTCTTTGGTCTGCAGGCCAACGCTCTAACCACTGAGCACTGGCCAGGGTTGCACCTGACTTCTAACAGACCACTGCAACAGTTCCAGTTTCTGGAAACAAAGAAATCGCTATTTTCTTCATGTGGGTGGGTCTAGGGCAAGGGCCTCCTGTCCCAGGTCCGCGGCCTCCAACCCCAGCGCCGCTTTGTCCCCATCAGCCCCCCTCTGCCTGGAGTGTGCTTTTACCTGCCATTAACACCCTTCAAACCTCTTCTGAAAAATCTCCCTCAATTTCCCACATGACCAGCCAACCCCTGCACTGGACCCCTCACAGGGACCCTCCCCCAAGGAGCCTGGCCCTGGCTCGCTGCCCGCCCCTCAGGGTGGGCGGAGAAGCCCACAGCAGCAGAGCCGGCGCTGTCACCGAGCGAGCAGCCCAGAGCAGGGCCAGCCGGCAGGGGCCACCTGGGCCCAGGGAGCAGGGCAGAAAAGACACAGGGTGAGAGGCAAGGCCAGCAGGTTCTCCTGGGAACCAGCAAGTGAGGGGCAGGGGCGCCGGCAGGAAGGCACAGCTGGATGCAGCCAGGAGGTGGATGGGCCCAGGGCATCGCCACCAACAAGGAAACAGACAACGAGGGCCTCTGGGGGCCCCAACCATTAGAGATGGGCAGAAAAAGGAACGGCAATTAGATAAAAGATCAGCGCCACAAAGGGGGCACAGCCAGGCCCCAACAGACCTCACGGAAGGGACACCTTGAGAAAGAGCCCGTGTTACATGCCAAGAGGAACCAGGTGGGGCTAAAATGCAGCACGTCTGGACAAGGGAGATGTCCACGTCTCGACTGGGGGGTGGCTTCCAAGGCCATCGAATTTGTCGATCGAGAGCGGCTGTGTCCTTTAGAAAGGCCCTCTGCATAACACTGCAGCAGGACAAGAGGAGGGCCCAGGCTGCTCCCAGGGGACTCATGTCGGCAGCCCTCCAGGTGCCCTCTCTTCTTCCCCCCACACCTAGCCCCTCCACAGACAGCCCTGGCCCTAACCAGCTTCTAACTTGTCCACTGTGGTCAAGGGAACCCACACATATGCACACAGGAAGGTCACCTTCTTGTCACTCTGTAGACCCCTGGGACCTCACTGTATCACTCCATGGCCACCGTGACCCAACGATGTGCCCAGCTGATGACTTGCCCCCAAACACTGCTGGAGGTCCCCCTGGCACTGAGCTCCCTCCACTTGGACCACCCCTGCCTCACCCTTCTGTGTAACAGCTCTCCCCCAACCCCCCACCAAGTATCCCCCACACCCAGAGCTGTTCCTCCTCCCCAAGGTCTCTCAGTTCCCACCGCCTTGGGTGACACACGGCACACCCTCCTGCCATGCTGTAACTTAGGGTCCAAGGGGCACCAATTCCTTGAGAGCAAGGAGGCACTGGCCCTGCCTTGTTTCTGAGTCCTGGGCAGAGACCCGCCTGCCAGCAGGCACCTGATCTGGGCACGCACACGGCCTATCGGCTGCGGACGCTCCAGGCTACACAGCCTGAGCCTGCACCTCTCTCAAGTCTCTCGCGCTGACTAGCACTGACTACGTTAAAGCCTCGTCATCTCCTGTTTTCCTTACTTCACAGGGAGGGTCAGGGCTCCAGGGGCCACGGCATCTGGAGACATCTCTGCTAGTTGTAACTCAGGAGCTGGCTACTGGGATCCAGAAGGTAGGGGGCCGGGGGTGCTGCGAAGCCCCTAACCATGCACAGGGCACCCACAGCACACAGAGATGAGTGTCAGCTTGGAGCCTTCCCTGAGCTACATGCATCCGCGCCCTCAACGCCCCAGAGGCACCCATCCCCAAGAGGACAACAGTCAATGACAGCCACAGAATGTCCACGGGGAGGCCCCTGCTCGCGAAAGATACACAGGACAGCTCCACTCGCCTCCACAGACCTGAAGAGAGCAGTCAACGCTGAACACCGGGCCGCACAAACCTGAGTGCGTGCAAAGCCAAAAGACCTCCTAGTAACGCCACGCATGTGGTCAGCCGCAAGCCAGGCGTCAGGAAGAGCATGGTGCAGAATGCACCAATCAAGCCCATCCTCATGACATTTTAACTCGACTTCTGTTCTCCTTGTCGTGTGACCTTCTGTCCACCCACAAGTGTTTTAATCTAAACTCCACATTCACAAGTGTTAAGTAAAACATTTCTGTATATTAAGTTAAACCTGAGGTCTCCAACCTGAACCCACCCAGCAGTCTTGTCGCGTGTCCCCTCACATTTTGCGAGGCTGTGAGAGCTGGTGCCTGAACACAATTTGTGTCAGAAAATAGGGCCGTGCTCTGACTGATGGGGCCTTGTCAGAGCAGCCAAACTGAAGGGCTCCCAAGACAAACAACAGTGACAGCCCACTGAGGCCGGTAAGAGCCCGAGTCCTCACCGACAGGTCGGTGCTTCACACAGAAGCCCGTATTCCTCAGTTCCTAGAATGACTTATTGCTGGAAATGACCACTGATGTGGTCAGCCTCCAACTGCTGGTGACCGCGGTGACAGGGACAACTCGGCCAGATGAGCCTGCCTCTGCACCGCACGCACTCTCTCTGGAGAGAGCTCAGTAACAAGTCACTGCATGAGATACCCCAAGACCCCGGAGACCAAAAGTACAAAGGAGAAATGTCTCTGCGGGGAACCTGTCCTCAAGACCAGGTGCTGGGCTGACTGGTCAGGCAATGCACTGGGTTACTGATTCCAGACCAGCGGGTGTCACCAGAGCACAGCACTGCAGTTTCTCAGTAGCTGTGACCAGTCACTGATCTGTCTGGGCCTTGGTGACCCTCTCTGTACAGAGGAACAGAGTGGCACAGAGAATAGCTCTTCCCTTTAGGGGTGTTCTACACCATGAAGCACCAGCATTGAGCACCTCTATCACGCACAGGCTGGCAGGTTTCAGGCTCACTGGTGCCCTAGAGAAGGCCAGGTGAGGTGTGACTTCGAAGTAGTGATGACAGCATGAAACAGTGTGTCACACAGACAACAGTGAGCGCCCCCCCCATGGAAACCTGGCAGTGGGCTCTGGTGGTGAGCGACATGGTGAGGCACCCCACCTGCATTCAGTGGGCAGGCGTGGGCGCCTGAGCTGAAGGCGAAAGACATGGACTCCATCTCCAAAGGAAGAGAATGGAGAGTGGACACTGGCTAAGGCTCCGGGGGCTGGGATAAAGGAAGGGCTTATCTTATCCTGTCCTCATCCTCACCTTACAAGGGGCACAGCTCAGCACCAATGCAAGTCCCAGGGGGAGGGAAGGAGACCAGAGTGAGCAGCACCACCAGAAGGGAGGCAGGAGTGGACAAGAAGCCAACTGAGTGCGGGGGATACACTGTGGCCCCCAAAGGGAAGCTGTACACCAACCACTCCAGCAGAAGGCAGGAAAGCTCACTTGCCCCGTCCTTCTGTTCCCGACAATGAGAACATCCACGAGCCGTGTGCACACGCACACCTGTGCTCACTGCAACGCGACCTCAAAAGCACACAAACCACACACCAAGTTCACACACCTCAATAGAGAAAAACATTCCCTTAATGAGGTTAACACTAAGGACACGCAGCTGAGCCAATCCTGGCAGGAGGTACTACTCCCCGCGCCCAGCTGCACCTCCTTCCTGAAGTATGATGCAGAACCGCACCAGCTTTTACAACCGCGTTCCACAAAGTTTACGAGGATCTCAAGTGCGCACCCCTAAGAGTTTACGGCGCGATGACAAGAGTGGGGCGCGCTGATTCGTCCTGGACTCGCCGTCGCCCCGAGTTCTCCTAACTTACAAGTGCGGCGTCTTGGAAACAGCACCTACCTATTGCAGAAGAGGGGGGAACACAAGCGATTTCTAAAGAGCAATCACCAGTATGGTTGCCCCGCAGCCTTAGAAAGGCACGCAGACGGGGCGGGGGTCCTACCCGGCAAATTCCCGCCGGCGCAGCCCCTGGACCCTCCCCCGGCCCAGGACACCGCCCGGCCCCGCCGGCCTCACTCACCCGGGAGCCACCACCTGGCCCGGCTGTGCGCACAGCTCCCGCACGACGCCGGCGCGCTCCGACCTCAGCCTGCGCTCGGCGCGCACGCAGCTCCCGGAGCCCGCGCGGGCAGGGGCGGGCCCGGCGGGCTGCGCGGAGGCGGTGGCCTCACACACGGCCAGCACCGAGCCGATGCGCACGGTCTCGCCCGCCGCCACCCTCCACTGGAGCAGGCGTAGCGGCCCGGGACCCGGGCAGCGCACCTCCGCCACGGCCGCCGGCGGGGTGCCTTCGGCGGGAACGCGGGCGGCGGGCGGCGCCTCCATCGCGGCCGGCGGGGTGGCTGCGGAGATGCGGCGGGGGGCGCTCAGGGCCCGGCGCCCATCGCGGGCGGGCGAGCGACCCCGGCCCAGGCGGCGGCGGCGGCGGCTGCGCTGCGATTCCCACTCCTGCACCGGCTTCCACCCGCCGCCCGGGTCCGCGCCGACTTCCGGGACAGCGCGTGACGTCACGTTACGCCACGTGCGTGCGCCAGGGGGCCCGCGTGTAAACACAAGCCCACGCGGGGTCCGAGAGGCGCTGCCTAAGCCACGGGTACCCGAGGCGCCCAGGTTCAAGCCCGTGGGGTGGCCCCGGCGGGAACAATGTTGCTACTCCGGGCTTGCTCTGGGGACAGCGATCCCAGCATGCCGCGCGCCGCTGTCCCACAGGCACGTTGGCGCGCTGAGGCGCGGTGGGTCTTTAAACCATGAGTCCCGGCATGCACTGCGCGCGGCCTGATCGCGGATCCCCATAAGGCATTGCGAGTCCCAGCATGCAACGCGGGCTGCCGACCTTACCGTTCTCTCACGCGCTAAGGCGGGCGTCGTGAGAACTACGAGTCCCGGCATGCAACGCGGGCCGCCGTCCTACCGTCCCCTCGCGCGCTAAGGCGGGCGCCCTGAGAACTACGAGTCCCGGCATGCAACGCGGGCCGTCGTCCTACCGTCCCCTCGCGCGCTAAGGCGGGCGCCCTGAGAACTACGAGTCCCGGCATGCAACTCGAGCCACGGAGCCGTCGTCCCAGCTCGCCGGTGCGCGGTCGGAGGTCAGAGGGAGGCGGGCCCCACGTCGCCCCGCAGAGTGTGTTTGGGGTGTCAGGAGCCGCCCGCCCACGCGCCCGACGCCCAGGAACGTGCTTCCTCAGGCTCAGCGGCTCGTGCCCAGTGCCGGCAGCCGCGGAAGCCTCGAGAGCCGTTGCGCAGGGGCCGCCCCGCCACGAGCCGCTCGGGACTCGCTGCGGCCGGAGCTCCCGGGCCCCGAGGGCCGGGCGGGGGCGGCTCCGTCGGGGCGGCGTGAGCCGAGTGGCTCGTCCGCCCCGCAGGGGGACCTCCCGCCGCAGGCCCGTCCTCGCGTGCGATGTGCTTACTGACCCGCGCCGCTGCCCCGCCTCGGCCCGGCCCCCGCCTGCAGGAAGACGTGCCTGGGGCTCTGACCCCGGGGCCGGCGCGAGCGGCCCGAGGCGCTGGGCTGTGTGAAAAGCGACTGTCTGCGTGGCCCGGGCTGCACGATCCCGACCGCATGAGTTGGGGGCGGGCCCTGAGCGACAGGCGTTCTGCCCACGGGTCGAGACCCCTCGTAGGCACTGGGTGTCCCGAGAAGCTGTGAGCAGACGCCTGTGCCTCAGGATGCTGGCAGCTGAGGGCTGAGCGCCCACAGGTCACCGCGTAGGTGGCGGGGACAGCTTCGGGGTGTTGGCCCTCGTTGGGCAGGTTAGTGCTCCTGGGAGAAGACAGACACTGAGAAAGGAAACGGGGGCCGCCCTGGGAGGGAAGCAGCGAGTGCCCCCGCAGTACGGTCAGCCCTTGGGGGAGTAGGGCCAGTGCAGCACATCCCTGGGACCCTGGGGACAGTGCAAGTGACAGTGAGTGAGGGAGCATCTGTGGGGGAAGGTGCTGCACACGGGTGGGCAGCGAGCGGGACTTGTCAGTGTGCCCGGTGCCGTGGGGAGTTCAGGTTAGATCAGGGGGGCTTTCCAGTGGGGAGCGAGCGCGTGGGGGGTCAGCGCTGGGACTGGGGTACAGGCAAAGGCCAGGCTTGCTTGGGAGGGTTCGGGACAACTGTGGGGAGCAGCGACCGGAGAAGAGCACAGACCAGGGTTACTGATTCATTTCTGCCCGGCAGTGACATCTGACAGCCTTTAGCTGGACCCCCCCCCCCTTTCTCTCCCCGTGTAAACATGTGCATTGCGAACGAGTAATCCTGAATGAGCCCATCAGCCAACCTAAACTCGAGAACATCTCCAGAATCGTTACAACTACCTGTGGGGCCCCACCATCTCATCCTGTCCCCTCGATTCCACAGCGGAGGGGTCCGTCACCTCCAGGCCATGTGTCTCATTCTCCTTTCATGGTCTATCTGCTGCGTATGTACATTTGTACAGAAAGCCCTCACCTGGTGTCTTCGATGGGTTCTGGATTTTAAGCAAAGTGACAGAGTGAAACCAGTTTTACCCAGGCTACTTGATAAGAACAAGGGTTAAGTTCTTTCAGCGTCTCATTCAACATTATAACGAAATGACATGGAATGGAATGATGTTTTCAAGGACCTGCTGTTTACACAAATATATTGTTGCGTTTGTTTGCTTATGAAAATGAGTCATGTGTGCTCTTTTCTCCAGACCACAGGCCAACATTCTAACCACTGAGCTAAACCAGCCAGGGCCATACGTATGCTCTTTTAAATGTGACCGGCTTTTCCATTCATCTCTATGTATTCAGAAATCATTATGTCATATGGTCACGGTCGATTTACTGTGACTTCCGTGTGACTGTAACAGGGTGCATCTACCCATTCTCTTATGGGTGGACGCCGGATGGCGTTCCTACTCTGGCCTGTGGCAGGTGCCTCCGGAGGGTGTGGACCCAGGTGTGGACTTGCTGAGTCATAGGTGTGGGAGTTGATGTCACTCTTTCCCAAATGGCCCTGTACTCCACCATACCCTTGGCAGCTTGGTGTCCTGACCCGAGGACATTTTTGCATTTATCTCCAGACAGAGCGGGAGGGAGAGAGGGAGGAAGAGAGAGAAACATCGACATGAGAGAGACACATCAAGTGGTTGCCACCCACACAACCCCAACTGGGGCTGGGGACAAACTGCAACTGAGGTACGTGCCCTTAGTGGGAACCGAACCCAGGCCTCTCTGGTCTGTGGGCTCATGCTCTAACTGCTGAGCCAAACTGACCAGGGCGGTGTTATGACTTCTTAATCTGCCAATCTAGGTGAAATCTGGGTTTTAATTTGTATTCTTCTAATGACCGGTTGGCTTAGTATCTTTTTACATCCTTTCTTTTTAGTAACGTAATTTATGTATTAAGAAAGAGACGTTCCAATGAAAGGAAGGTGGTTCTACGAACATAATGCACATTTAATGTTTCTCTAACTGATGTTCTGTATAACGTGTATTTGTGTGAATCCATCGTTTCGGCGGGATCAGGTTCACCTCAGTGCAGCGCTCAGATTCCTTCAAGTCAGGTTCTTTTGCAGTTAAGCTCAGTCTGTTTACCCAAGAATGCTTTACTTCCTCACTGTGGGAAGATAGTTTTGAGTCTTGGGAGACATACAGCTATCAGATGACAACGATTTTTTCATCTAGAAGACGTTGCTCCATCGGGTTCTGGTCTCCATGGTGCCCTGTGTGTGTCTGAGTGTCGTGGCTCCAGAGGTCTGTCCTCTCTGTCTCTGATCGTTGCAATGTGTCTGAGGGTGGTTTGCTTTTTGTTGATTCTGTTTTTTGTGAATTACATCAGTTCTTGAAAATTCTCAAGCGTTCTCTCTGAACATTTCTTTTTTGTTTTTAGTTGCCGGGGCGCTGACTAGATATTTGTTAAATCTTGTTCTATAGTTCATCTCATCATTTTTGTTTTTTTCTCCTTATTTCTCTGTTCAGCATTATGAGGGACTTATTCAGATGTAATCTCTAGTTTTTTAGTCTCTCTTCATCTGTGTGTAATCTGATAACTCATGTTTGAGGCTTTCCTTCAAAAATTATAATTTTTATTTGTAAAAAGATCTAGTTGGATAATTTTTAAATATGCTTGTTCAGTTATAGTCTCTTTATGTGCTTATTTTTTTAGTAATTTATTCTTATTTCTTTAATTAGTTTACACCTAATCTTTAGGATCCCGAATCTTGTCATTTGAGAAATTGCTGTCTTTGTGGGTCTAAATCTGTTTTGTGTTTTTTGCTATTGACTCTTATGCACAGAAGTGCGTTTCCTTTTGTGGCCGGCCCTTTGAGTGTGAGCTCACATGGGGTTGACGTCGCTTGGGCCTCCGGGTGACATTTGCTGTGACTGGAGCCAGAGGGTCAGGCTGGACGCTCCTGAACCCTTGCAGGGAGGAGTCCAGTCTGCCTGTGCTGCGTGCTGGGCTCCGGAGCTCTGATCAGGCACGTTCTCTGAGGCAGCCCCACCGCGAGGCTTTCTGGCTCGGTTCAGCCCATCAGGTCTCCGTGTGGAGTCATGGAGATGCCTTCCTGCAGGCCTGCCCTGGCAGGAGCATCACTTCCAGAACTGAATTGCTTGTAGTGTGAAGGCTCTAGAGCACCTAGGCTGCCTGTTGCCCAAGATGGAAATTCTTGTCTTGGTTTTTCTCTGTTTTAACTGGATTAAATTGATCCAAGCCCTCCCCCCTCTTCTTTTTCTAGGGCCTGTTTTTCAGGATACAGCACTGATCTTAGAGGAGCTATGTGCTCAGAGTCTCCTTTATTCTGATGAGGGGGCAGGGGAGAGCTGGAGTTAGGGAAGTCCTGTTAGTGGGAGAGAACGCTGACCTGTCTGAGAGAGAGGCTCTTCTGACAGAAGAATTTGGTCACTTGGAGGCGGGAGCTCAACGAGATAGGTGTCCGCAGGCACACGGCACGTGCACAGGACAGAGCAGGCACACGGCATGTGCACAGGAGAGAGCAGGCACACGGCACGTGCACAGGACAGAGCAGGTACACGGCACGTGCGCAGGACGTTATTCCGTGGGGTCACCTTCAGGCAATCGCACAGGACAGAGCAGGCCCTCTGTTCGCAGGGCTCACTCCGTGCTGCCTCTATCACTGCCGTGGACTTGGCTGACAGCCCTTTACGCAACGGAATGGCTCTTAGGGAAGAGAGGAGTAATGAAAACAAAGGTGTTTTGGCTAAAAGGAACATGCTACTTTTTAAAGGAGGCAGTAATACACGTGTGAATTTTGGATGGAAAACATAGCTGGGCCCAGCTGTTGTGGCTCAGTGATTGAGCATCGACCCCGGCACCAAGAGGTTGCTGGTTTGATTCCGGGTCAGGGCACATGCTC